ATACTGCAAGTGAACTGTTTAACAGAACTCGTCTATCTGTATACATGGTCATTACTCCACTGTTGTCACTGCTTTGTTTTTAGGAGCCGACCATTTAACTTTTGAGGGGGGGGGAGTTGATTTTGAAAAAAAATTCCTGCAAGGCTATTCTGAACAAAAAAAACCTGCACTAACAGAGGGAAAAATATCCTGTCCCATTATTTGGTGGGAAAATGTTGCAAAACACCATGGTTGCAGGGATCGATTTGACCAGTCACAGAAGATCAGCTGGTTTGATTTTCAGGGACTAGTGTAAGGTTAATTTCTTGTTGGAAAACTCATCAAAGTGAGCTTCAAGAAATCCAAAATTTTCTGGGGGGGCAAGCCACCAGACCCCTCTAGAGGCTCCCACCTTTGATTGTCAACTCGGTTGTCTCAGAATCCTAGGTATCACTATGGCCTGATCTGCTGCCCTATGGTGCATACTTATTGGTTAAACTATGCATACATATGCTGCACGTAGCTGCAGCAACACATACTTGCCGACCGGAACTTCTCCAGGTCCCCCGCTAAATATGTCCCTTCCAGTTACACATCCTTACAGGGCCGTAGCAACCAGAGGGGGTTGCAATCCCCCCCCCGGCCCAATAATTTGCTAATAATCATTTTCAAAATCATGCAGACCTTTATCATTTAATCCATGACAAACTGCAAAGGATGAAGATATTACTCATATTTTCCTGCAACTTATCCAATATATAGTTCATTAAATACGCCTTCATCCATTTAGTACTACTAAATTGTAAATTTCAACATACTAAAACGCTGGTTTCTGACCATCAGAATTCTGTCAAATCTTCCCCAAAGTCCAGGAAATGGCACTTCAGAGACTTTACATTTAAAAATTCCCTTGGGCCTTCGGCCCTCGCTTTCAGCCCCCCCCAATCGAAAAGAGCTTCCTATGGCCCGGCCTTAAAAGAGGCCCTGAACCAAATGTTATACCTCATAGCAATATGTATTATTAAAAGCAATGCATGAAGCTAGAAAACTCAACGTTAACTATAATCAAAGAATCTAAATGGGTTGTTCCAGAAAAGATCCATACTCCCCTCACAGAGGAAATTTCTGCCGTCCGGAGGGGGAGGGGAGAAAAAATTGTTTCTGATAATAGTAAATGTATTAGGACATCCGAAGGGGGTAGGGGGGTTACCTTCCTATTTCCTCTGTGGGGGTGGTATGGATGTTTTCTGGAATAACCCAATAGCACAAGCTATTGAAAAAAAATGCTGCGAAAGAGAGTGGAAAAAAAACATACATGGTGATGGGATAGAAAACAACTTGCACATAACGATCCCAGAAAAAAATTCCCTGCCAGCAATAAATCACCCCCCCCCCAAAAAAAAAAGGTAAATGGTCGGCCCCTTAATTCATTCGTTTCTTAATAGTTTTGTCTTTTTACTGTAAAATGACTAAAAGTAGTTACTGTAAAATGACTAAAGTAAAAGTACTGTTACTGCAAAATGACTAAAGTAAAAGTTTGTAAGCAGTACTGTAGTGTATTTTAATGCAATTGTAATGTGTGTAGGTGTGTCAAGGCAGCAGTCAGTCTCATAAAATATACATATTATGCTGTTTATTAATTGATCTGTATTATTGAGGGCAGAACATATAACAATGTCACAATTTCTTGAAACCTAAAAGCCTGATTTACTCCATGAAGAAAAGACAAAGCTAAAATGATCTCAGCAGGTTGCAGTATTCAGTCAACAAACAATGTTTTATAACCAATACATTTTTTTATGATTAGGCTGATAGACTTCACACAGATCCTATAATACTAGAGACCCTTTACAATTAAATTGTTTTTACACAATGCAATATAATGCATATTATATAGACATGCAACTGAAAGTAACTGTTTGCAGCATTGTTCCATCTTCACTTTATACTGTCTCTATAGGATCTAAAAAGCACAGAAATGAGATACCATTATTTTACAACTTTCAATTTCTTTCAAATTTATTAATTTTAATCTGCTTCTTTGGAATAAAACACCATTGAGGTCTTCTCAGAAGAGTGATAATTAATAATCATGACTATGGCTTTAATAAGGAACATATTACACAAGCAGGGATGGTATGGTATATATTCTCACAAGGCATTGCGTTTAAACACCCACCATTAACATAAATAAGATCACTACAACGTACCTGCTATTTTTTCTACCATTCTGAATCATTTGTTCCTTTAACAAATCCCACAAGCGACATAAATTGTTTGCGTTGATAGAAACAAATATGAGGTGATATGAGTATATTATGATCTTGTCCATATAAAATTCACCATTTCCAAAACAATAAAGTTCATGACCAATTTCTCATGTGTTAACTTATGGTATAATTCACCGATCTCTATCAGAAATTCCCATTTGAAAGGTGTTGTCACGACTGTATTCATGATTCATCTCAGTCGCACTCAGAAACGTCGTCAAAAATATAAACACGTTTCTTTACGATTGAGTTCATTTGAATGTAAAAGAGGTCCCCAACATTCTTGAACATGTGCTTTTGCTTAAAATACCATATTTGACTTGATTTATTCCTCTATTGCGAGATAACAGAACAAAACAGTTGAAAATACCGTATTAATCACAAT